TCTCTCTCTCTCTCTCTCTCATATTAATCTGGATTAATGTATTCAAAATATGTTTTTATATACTAAACATAAATAAAATGATAAATATTTTATATTTAAAGAGAGATTCTTTCATCACATGTTATCATATCGTAAATATTGCTATAAATAATATTTTCGGAAACAGAAAATTGTTTGTAATATAAGTTATTTACGGAAATATCAAACGAGTGTTTATTTATCCAAACAAAAAACCTTGTGTTTCGTATAATCGCATAAAACATTATTATTGGAGTCAATGAGGAAATCGTAACAAATATTATACTCAATAAATTGCAATTAATTTTAAGAATAGTCACAATAGTAACAATGTCATAAATTATATTGTACAATATTTAAATACACTGCCACTTATGAACTATTAACTAGATGTGAGGGAGAGTAGAGTTAGTGTTCATGGTTAACCTTAAATAATAAATGATATACATGCTACATTATTAGAATAGGATGTGCAGAATTAATACTAAAAAAGTACATTGCATAATACTGTATGTGATAAGTTGCATCTAGAACATACAATTATGAATATATTTGCTAAAAAGTCACAGCAAAATTGAAAATAATTATTTAAAAATTTATAATTAAATAAAAAACTTTTAGAATCATTAATAAATGTAATTCAAAAATTATAACACAATTAATGGAATTGTTTGACTAATTGTAATCACAATTTAATACAAATAACAAATACATTACAGGAGACAGACTTCGCGATCGCAGACATAACTGTAGCGAAGGGTAGACAACGATTCGTGGACTTCAGCCACCCTTTCATGCGATGGCCGTTGAGTGCAATCGTCCGCAAAGAACTCATCCGTAATATCAGTTCATTCGAAGACTTGGCCGCACAGACAGCCATCGACTACGGGGTGAAAAAGTATGGCTCACACCTACCACTCATACATCCCAGCGATACCATCAGCAAAATGTACACCTATTGGGACAACAGTCCAAACAGTTATGTCTTCGGCACCGATGAGGACGGGCTAAAGCGGGTCCGCACAACCGATTACGCCTTCATCAGCGACGGGCCGTTCATTGAATACACGGCTAATCGCGACTGCGATCTCACTATCATTGAAGATAAGGCCAAACACATGGAGTTTGAGTACGCGATCGCAATGCGAAAGGATCTGCTCTTCAAGAATGTCATTACAAACGCTATCAAACACTTGGAAAGTGTGGGAAAATTGCAGAAACTTAAGGATAAATATTGGCGGACCGACCGGTGCTCACACACCGAGAGTGAAAGCGATGTGGAAATAGTGTCCAAACCTTTTGGCAAAAATCGCAATGAGTTTTATTTGTCAGAAATGAAGACTCACGTGAAGACATCCCGATTGAGGAACTGGAGGAATGGATCCGACACTAGATCTCTGTCTTTCGTGTTATTTATTATATCGTTTTGTTTTTCCACACATTTATTACATGCGATTTGATATAAGAAAATAAATTGATGTTAACAATAAACAATAGGTCATTAAAAATAAAACACAAATCACTGCAGTATTTATGAATTTATAAAACAACTTTCTCACTTTTTATATAAATTAATTATTTTATTTTATTATATTATATACAGTATTTAAGTTTTATATTTTATACAAACTCTGTAGTATTTTATAGTTAAGTTGTATTGCCTAGTTAAAAGTTACAACATTAACAATATTTAATTTACAATTTACTTATTGTCCTTTATATAAATAATTTTATGCAATCTATTTAATATAATTAATTGTATTATTGTGTTTATAAAACACTATTATAAATAACACATAATTTTTTTTGCTTAAATTAATGCCCTTTTAATTAATCATTATTCTTAAGAATATTCATAAAACTAGTTAATTTGCATACAAATATAATAATAACGTAATATTTAAATTTAAACCAAAATAAATATATAAAATTTGAATAATTGTAAAAATATGATTTCCATGAATTGTTTATTTAATTAAATTAATACAACTAATTTCCAAAATATTTTTCTCTGATAGGCTAATAATGTTTATACATTTCTCGTAAGTAGCTCATTAATTACACAATTGTTGAACAAAACAACATACTCAACAAGGTAAATGTACCCTAATTTAGTCACACTAATTATAATCCTATCAGTCATATAAATTAGTTACAAATCAAACATATAACAAAGTTAATAATTGAAAAGGCACGATTAATCTATTTTATAGTCAAGTAACCTGGATTACTTCAAAAATTCTACTATACTTGACAATCTACTTTGCTGAACTAAAAGTTTACTAAAAGTATTTTTACCTTTCATAATCTCTTGTTGTATTAATTAACCGATAATTAGTTATCAATAAGTATTACTATTATTAAACAATAGTATACTTGAAATATTATCTCTTTTTTAAATAAAACATAAGAAAGTCAAAAAACTAATAACCGATTAATAAAATTGTAAACATTAACGACATTATACTGTAGATGCCCTCCAATTCTTCATTCAATTACTGTTTATAACTTTCTATTACTTTTATTTTTTATAATGAATTATCTTTTCCCAGAACTGTAACCATATTTATAAACAAAAAATAAATGTTGTCGTAACAGTAATACAGTGTTAAGAAAATGTGACATAAATTAGGCATCACTTCATAATAGGGAGTATTGTCTTTGACAGTAGTCTTGGTCTGAAGTGACAGTTAAGAGATATTAACCAAAATCTAATCAATCATAGGATACATACAAACCGATTGATAAGCCGTTATTTCCATAGTCTGTGAAATGAATAAACAATTGATTATGTATTTGCGCCCCAAATGTATGGTGTAATCGACATCTGCTATAAAGACAAATACAAATAATTTATCATTTCTTTTGTTTAGTATTTTGCTATAAATATAGACACCGTTTGTGATATATTACATCATAAGTGACAGCAAAATAATAACATAAACTTTATAATCAGTTAATAAAACGTAAATATTAAGACATAATGAAGTTTCTAATTTTATTAAGTGTAGTTTTTGCTATAAGTAACGCAATTGTGGACACGGAATGGGAGACGTATAAGGTATTGAAATTTTATAATTAATTTTTAACAAAACATTTTTAATTAATAGTTACATGTATTTTGTAGAAACAATTCAGGAAAACATACAAATCCAATGCCGACGAGGAAACACATTATACACAATACAAAGTGAAACGAAATGAGATTCTGGAGCACAACCAGAGATTCATCGCCGGAAAGGAGTCCTACTATAAGGGCATCAATCAGTTCACAGATATGGTACGAAAAATGTGCATTTTATTGGCTTTTACTATACAACAACTGATGTAAATATAATTGAAAATAAAATATCAAAATTATTGTAGACTTTAGTTGAGGCGAAGAGAGTGTCAATGGGTTACGGGAATGGACTGAAAACCTCTCACCACAAGTCTGCGCGCAAACACGTGCCCCGACTGTCGGCCTCATTGCCATCGACTGTCGACTGGCGTACGAAAGGCATCGTAACGCCGATCAAAGACCAGGGCTCGTGCGGCTCGTGTTGGGCCTTCTCAGTGGTCGGCGCTCTCGAGGGACAGCACGCGAAGGCCGCCGGAAAGTTGGTCTCACTGTCCGAACAGAATCTGGTTGACTGTACCCGAGATGAGGGTAATTACGGGTGCGGCGGGGGCTGGCCTTACGACGCCTACGAGTACGTGGTCAGAGTGGCTCAGGTAATGATCGGTACACACAGCGTAACCAAACATTGATTGAAACAAAGATTGTCCTAACATTATGTACGATATAATAGGGAATCGACACCGAGAAGAGCTATCCGTACAAAGCGATTGACCAGAAGTGCAATTTCACGGCGTCGGGTATCGGCGCCAGAGCGACGGCATTCGCCATACTATCGCCGGGCAACGAATCGGTACTCCAGGAGTCGGTGGCCCACATCGGCCCCATATCCGTGTGTATTGCAGTGTCGGACGCTTTCATGTCGTATTCGGGCGGTGTGTTTGACGACAGCACCTGTCCCTCAAACTTTGATTACATCGATCACTGCGTTCTGGCCGTCGGCTACGGGACGGACACGAAGACCGGCAAAGACTACTGGATTGTGAAGAACTCGTGGGGAAAGACGTTTGGAGAGGAGGGCTATATCCGCATGAGTCGGAACCGACACAATCAGTGCGCTATCTCTACGCTCGCCTCCTATCCCGATGTCTACCCCACCCGACACTCGTATACCAATTATTAGATATGAACCGATCGATTGGTTTGTGAAAATAGTTTCTCAAAATTATGATTATTTTGTATGAATTGTTATTAATTTGTAAATAATTTGAAATAAAATTATTTAAAAGTTTATTTTGACTATAATTTTGTATGACTTGAACCGTACAGTAGCGGCACATATGAACCACAATTAACAACTATAACTAATAAGTTATAAACATTTTTAGCATAATAAAATTTTTAAAAACATAAATTAACTATATTTATTTTTTAACATTAACCTTTTAATTAAATTGAATAAAAAAAATAATTTTCCAAATTAAAAATAGCCAAAATTTTAAACTAATAAATCATTAGAAATACAATTAATTATTATTATAATTTGTTGATAAGGTTATGAAACTTTGAATAAAAATACTTTACATTAAATTAGTTTTAATGTAAAACATTTCGCAGTAAAAACAGATGTTTTAAAAATTAAATTAAATTAAAATGTTATATTAATAATAAATGTTAAATGCATTAAGAGATCACATACAAGACATGATGAAGTGTTTACTTGTGTTGTCAATATGTATATTAATTATGATTGAAATAAAGGCACAGCCGAGCGGTCAAAACGTCGGTAGCAATGCTTTATTAGTATACATCAAATGTAATAATGATTTTATATATGATTACAGAAAAAAGCAGTCCATTCGAGCTCTAAAACATTGATCAAAAAGATGACGACAATCACACCGACGACAACACCGCCGCCCAATACTAAGCCTGACAAGAAGAATATGACCATGGACAAAGAGTGGCAAAAATATAAGGTGCGCTACATGTTTTAAATGGCAATTCTCGTATTAATAATGATTTTGGATTAAAAGCTAAACATGTGTTAATTTAATTTGATATTTTTATAAATGTATTACTAATTATATTTATCATTATTATTAATGTGCACGTGATAGAAAGAATATGCAAAAACGTATACGAGTGAGCTTGATGAATTGAAACATTACGCTCTATACAAGGAGAGCCAAAAGGAAGTGTTAGAACACAACAAATTGTTTGAAGCAGGGAAAGTAAAATACACTAAGGCCATTAATGAGAAAAGTGATCAGGTTAAGTCCATTATCATAATTGTCATTTGTTACGCATTATTCACCGTATATAAAATGCGCACATATGGAAATTTGTGCGTATTTATCCTGTTCATTGTATGGGAACTAACCATTAGATCCTTAAAATCATATTGAATAAAAAGCACACTTTCCTAATCAAAAAACACAATTATGGATATTTGTCACTAAATATTGTTATATTGTTTATTCAGAAACTGGAGGAATTTCTAGCTCTAAATTTTGGTTTTGGTTTTGACGATAAATAGACACAAAACCTAATAAAACAATAATAATATAAAAATGAATGTTATTTTTGCACTAAATATGTTCGTGTTTATATATTGTTTTAATTATCACTTTTAATGCATGTATAAATAAAAACTAAAAAATACAACTTATATGTTTGTTACTTTAATACACATAAAATATTATATTTAACAGTATTCTAACATCTCTATTCGCAATTTCTCAAAATATCACTTATAAGTTATAACAGCATTAGTACAATTTAAAGTATTTAATTTGAAGAATAAAAATGTTTATACAATTTCCTATGGGAATAATATAATAATATAGCATTATATGTAACAATAGAAAAATACCTAGCCATGCACAAATGGAAGGAGGGTTAACAAAATTTTGAAATAACCAATATATCCATCCCATTAAATAATAAAGTTAATAAATAACTTTTCCAATAAAAATATTTTTTAAAAAGTACCTAGATCAAGAATAATAAAGGAAACATATTGGAATACATTTCTGCTCTCGGCTGTATGGCTAAAATATAATAACTAATTAGTGTAAGTGATATTTTGGTTTTTCGCAATAAGTAACCTAACAGTTAAAATGACCAAGGCAGACTGGTGTAGTGGACTAAGGCACCGGTCATTGCACGCTGAGGTAGCGAGTTCGAGTCTGATGCCGGCCCACTGGATTCTTTGTCATGTAGATGGCACTGAATTCAGCGAGATAGTTACGGACTGCGACAACTCTCGACCCCACCGGTGGTACCGGTAGACTGNCGACAACTCTCGACCCCACCGGTGGTACCGGTAGACTGAGCCACAAGTCGTAATAGTTCTCTGCGGGACACGTCTACCGTATACTCTGTATGATGTATGACGTTAAACATTGAGAATTATTATTATTATTAACAGTTAAAATGGAATACATATTTTATATCTAATTTTATTTTGTCAGGTAATTCAATAGTTCAACACACGGTTTATTAAACATCTTTTAATATTCGCTATTTAATACAATTTCATGGGATTATTAAATACTCACGAAGTTATATGGATTTATTAAATTACAATTTATATATTAATTATCTATAAAATTAGTGTTAGTTTTATAATAATTTACTTTTAAAATGAATTATGGTATTATATAATTCCAGCATTTCTAATATAATATCTTATATTCTTATATGCATTCATGTATTCTAAACAGTATTCTAAAGTACTTCAAGTATACACTACTTAAATAAACATAGATTGTCTCATTCACTTCAATATACAGGTAATCTCTTGTAATAAAAACTATTTTTAGACGTCAGTAGAAAAATCAATGTTTTATATATAGCTGTGACGACTATATTATGTAAACACCGGTCCATAGCTATTATGAAAAAGGTTAAAATACTAAATTAATAAGACGTGTCAATTAAATAGTCGTTATATTTTAAGTTTATAAAATATATTTAATTTTATAAATATTAAATGATTTTTTAATTTAATAAATACTGTTGGGAGACACAAAAAAATCGATGGCAAACCTAATGTATTGTCGATGTGAAGCATAGGATATCAATATTTAATTAAAATCTTTCCATACCTTATACTCTGCGCACAAACGATACCATTATATTAAATACATTGTAGCGATGATCGCACCGGTATATTGGCTAATATACGGTAGCTTTTTATTGTGGTGCTCATTACTACAGTACATGGTGAAAATCAATTTAATATCTATGTTTTATATTGATTGAATATACAGTATCCACTTGAATGTCATCGTTGAGAATGTCATATAATAATGAATTAAATAAAAAATCTTGATTGAATTTAATTTCAAAGCAATTATGTTTAATATAAATGAAAAAGACATTGAGTTATGGGTTAATAATATCAGTGTAATTGTCACCGAAAATAAGCTAAAATTAATTAAATTTGCCGACGATTTGATTGAGAAATGTAAGTAAAATTTAATTTTTTTTATTAACTTGAATATATTTTTATGTGTGATATTTTAGAAAATTAATTATTTAAAAATATTTACGTAAATATAATAAATCTAAACGATATTAAAAATGATTCAATAAGATATAAATGAAGCGCTCATTAATTATACAGTGATTTATATTTAAATATAAACTATAATAAATTATGTCTAAATAATTTATAATTATTTATAATATTTTATAAATTATATTTGTTTATGAACATAAAAACAAATGTTATTTCTCCTAAACATCATTAAAATTAACATGGTTTTTAACAAATAGAATAATGTACAATTTTTATTTATTTTATTTGCCCATACAATAATAAAAGTCACTTTTACCACCACTAAACACTTATTAATAAATTAATTTATCATTCTACTTCTTTCTACGTTTGAAGCACTAAATATAACGATAAAAAAATGTAACAATGTTTATTTATCGAAACAAAAAGTATAAGGTTAATCTGGTATTAGAAACATATCCTGATGCCTTATTTATAAATATAAATTCAAAATTTGTAAACAAAGTTCTGTCGCTATATTTGGAAATATGATTTGTGGATCAAATGTAGATATGAGACAAGTTTTGAGCATATTTTGAGTTCAATACCTGTAAACAAATAAATGTTTGACTCTTTATGATTGCACTAATCGTTTGTCACAAACAGGTTATGCCGTTAACAAAGACGACAAATCATAGACACCAAACATTTTAATGATTTAAAATTATTTAATAATTATTTTGGTAAAACTATTGGTGTTTTTTAGAACATTAAATGTTGTAATTTTATTATAAGTTCTATAAAAACTATTTTTGTGGGATATTTAAAAAATTAATAATAGATTTTTAATTTCAATTAATATATTTTTATTCAAACCATTATTGAATTGAAATGTCGTGGACTTTATTTCAAACATCAATCAATAGTAAGTCTATATTATTTTAATTTTGTTTAAAGATGTTATTTGAAAATTTTTTTTATTCAAATTGATATACAATTTACAGTATATGTAGTAAATATATAAAATATGCCATTTCGGCCATAATGTAAATTAAAATCTTTAATAATATAAAGTATTCCACAATAAATTTGGATGTAATAATTATGTAATTTATGTTTATTACAACTGTATTATAAAATAAAATAATATAAAATTAAATCCTTAAAAATAAATGAAAATAATGTACTGAAAACATAATAAATTACAATACATTAACAGTAATATGTATATAAATGTTAAATTTAATAATTTAGAAATTGTTATAATTAATAATAAACAAAATCTACTAAAATTAATATAATTAGTAATACAGTTATGATATATCACTTGAAAATACAGACCCATTCCCTTATTGTCATTAATATTAATATTCAATGAACAAAAAATTATTTTTGATAACCAGACATTGAAATGACATTTATTTTTTTGTTTATTACATTCACTGATATTTTTCGTCACAAAGGGATCCATTGTGTGGTTATATAATCAGGACTTTACATATTTTATTCATTTAAATCTAGAAAATTATTTCAATTATATTCATTGCCACTAAGTTTTTGTTATACATTACAAAATTTCTGTAGTAGTATTCAATTCATGCGATACAATCATATAATACATAAATTTTATGTTTAATTATTATACTGTATAACAGAAATTTAATTCATTCAAAATATTTGTATGATTTTATTGATGTTTTTGTCATATTGTCGTGATTTCAATGTCATTTTTGGGCTCATATTTTTGACATAAAAGCCTTTACATTAGATTTTATGTTGATTTTCATGTTTATATTAATCTAAAAACTTTTTTATGTTTTCCGTATTCATTATATAATGTTAATAATCATAAAACTCAGGCATATAATAATATCTTAGTTCATTTTCATCATAAAATTTTGAATATAAATAATTTTATATATTTTATTCATATACGAATTTTAATTTCTATTTCTGTAATGAATCTCTGTTTATATTTATTATAAAAGTAGTGTTTATAAAGTTTTAAAAGAAATACACAGTTTTATCAATTGGTATTATTATTGAATTTTGTTTGTATTTTAAACAATATTAAAATACAATCAAATAATGTATTATTAATGTGTTTCTCAATTATTATTTTATTTTTACAAAAAATATTTGTGCATTTAATACAATTACAAGTTTTAATATAATTATTAATTGTTTATATCATCATGGAAAATTCAATGAAATTAATTGATATTTAATGGTTCACTGAATTGATGATTAATTATAGCATTTATAACATTGTTATAATAATGTTATTTAATTGTTATACAAATTCTGTGACATCTTGAAAACTTTCATTGCTTTCAATAATAATTTTTTGATTTATAATCAATTTCTTATACAGTATTTGTGATGAGATTGTATTTCACACAATAAATGCATGTATTTTTTCAATGAAAATATTCCACAAAAAACTACAAAACGGATATTATTTCAAATCCATTGATGCAAACAATAATATTGTGTTTAAATTAAAATCTCATCAGTTTTGTTACGATTTTTGAAAATAATAAACCTTTTGTTGCTTTTTAAAAATAATTTAACAAAAACTCAATTTAATTGAAAAATTATAACAAATGATTTTGATTAAAGTTTTTTATTTTTCGGTGTATAGTTTACAAAGAGTGTAATTGTCTGCTATAATACACTAATAACTCGAGTATAACGTTATTTTTAATTTTTAATTAAAGTTTTGATTCAAGCCATTTGATCAAAAAAGCAAAATTAATTTAATTTAACTTATTTTTTGGTTGAAAACATCAAATATACTTTAATTTTCGTTTTTACATATAATTTAAAACTGAAAATATAATTAAAAATTGCAGAAAATATTTTCATAAAAGTTTTAAAGTTGTTAAAAATGGTCAATTATAAAATACCTTAATTCAATGGGCAATCCTATTATGATAATTTATTAATTACACGCTCTATATTCATTATAAATAGCCCGTTAATTTCTATTAACAAATTATGGTTGAATCAAGTTCGCTAATTAATATAGA